GTGTCACACATGGTGTTGATTCTTCACACAAAAAAATTAAAAAACAATTTCACATCTATTTTTGAAGCCTGAAATGTCGCAAAAGGTCAAAAAGTTCAAGCGGGGGCAAAGACTTTTGCTAGGCACAGTAAGCCTTGTATCACTGTCAAAGGATGACAAAGGATGCATTTCAAAATATTGAGTCTAACTTTAGTTATTTGCATACTATACAGTATTTATATTTTGCCATGTGTGGCTTATCGCAACCGGGGGGTAAATAGAGGTAAACTGCACTCCGCTGTTAAACCTCGTGGGCATGTTTGTGGCTGCTATGTCACTAGCGCCGTTGAAGTGTCCTTGAGCAAGTTACTGAACCCCCAGTTGCTGTCATCAGTAGGTGAATGAGGCAACGGTGTGAATCGCTTTGAGTGCCCAAGGTAGAAAAGCGCTATACAAGTGACAGCCCTTTTCTCATTTAGTTATATGAAATACTGTACTTTGCCAATTGGAATAAACAGAACACTGTCACAATTGCATCCTACATACGATAAGTAATGAGGAACTGCCAACAGAGACACCTGCGATCCAATCAAATTTCCTATTTGTTACATGAAATACCACTCAATTTAAACCAGCAGTGTTTGGTGCACTATTAAACGTTACATTAGCATGAATCATCTTACCAAATTATTTTACATTTTACCTTTTGGAAACGGTGGAAAATCTCTTGTCATTATAGAGGATACGGTCCCTGAGCGACACAATGTCATCATATCCAGGAAGAAAAATTAGCACTGCGCCTGAGACAAACAGATATGATCACATTTAAACAGATTTACAAGTACAATGAAGGATAAAGGTGGTACATAATCAACAAGATTTGAATCTACATAACTGGCAAAACAACTATCAATTATTTCATGCACTGTATTGCTTTTGCATTTTGAATCCCCACCTTTTATTGATGCAAATATTTACAAATAGTACTTCCTTGTAATGAATGAGTTGAGAGTGGATTCAATACATAGACTCGCATGGGAGCATTGTTGAATAATAAAAATATTTTTACAAATAGCCAATATGTGTCCTTTTTTTGCGTGCTGTTATAAATGGTAAACTTGAACAATTTTTTTTTTGTAAGAAATTACTTTGTCATTTTTTTACTTTTCAGCTAATCCAATTGTGCTGAATTTTGGGAAACAATTTAACTTGTTCCTTAATAACTTAAAATTGCCTTTCAATTCAATTTTATTTTCCCATTAACACTTAACAGATTGTGATGAGACACACCATCACATGTGGTTGAGCAGATCTTGTGCAGGAGGTCCATGATGAGATCTAGGTCTACAAACTCATCATCAAAGTTGTGGTGGTACAGTTTGAGCAGGTCCTGGTCTCCGGAGCTTTGCTCAGCACTGGCACACTGTACCCGAGGGCACTCTTCCATCGTTTTATTGGCACTGCACAGATAGCCGTGTGATGACATGGTTATTTCTCGATGCATAATTCAAGGTTTCACCACACAAAAACTCATCGTGGACATACAATAACCTGCATGCAATGAATGGAAAACATTATTTTGAAGGGGGTTGGTTGAGAACCGAGACGTTCGAAAACCGATTTTTTTTTAACCTTACAATATGCTACCTCTGCCACTTCAGCCCTAAATTATAACAGTACTGCTCACCACTGGATGGTAAACTTTATTATTGTAGCACTCCTGGCACTCAATCTCTGCTTGAGAGGGAGATTATTACCATGAAGACAATTTTAGTACACACTATGTATCTTTTGCCTCAACCTTGAACTACAATTGAACTGCACTAGTCGGAGTTTTACTGTATTGCACACATGAACAGGGGTGGAGCCTTTTTTTTAATCCACTGTACTGTACATCTCCTTGTAAAATGAATAAGAAACTCTAAAGTTATTGAGATAGCTTTCCTAAGGCCCTGATTCTTTGTGATACTATGTCATTTGAACGGGTAACCAAATTTGACCACAACCAAAACAAAAATGAATATTTTTTTTTTGATTATGAAAATAAAACAGGACTTTAGAAAACCAACTGACAAACCAACATTGTACGATACAACCATCAACAATGTATAAAATCACCAAATGTAATTGTGCATTGTCAAGACAAAATAATACTCACATTGAGGACTGAAGAAGATCAACAGCCTCTTCCTGTTGCAAGTTTGTGGCAAAGTCCAAGGCAGTCCTTCAATTAAAAGAAATCAGTTTTATTGTACAATTTTAAGATAATGTAAATGTGAAGACAATTAACATTTCACTTGCGACCGGCAACAGTTCAATGACTTCAATAAATAAATCGATTTGTCATACCATCCATTGAATGCCTTCAAGTTGATGTCAGCGCCCATGTTAAGCAACCGCTCCATCTGAGGTAGGAACCCTCGACCCGCTGTCACCATCAAAGGTGTGGCCCCTGTCTCACTGTGCATGTAGTCAACTAAGCAAATCAATACAAGCATGAGGAAACAAATCAAATTCCACATGAAAATATGTAAAACTGTAGAAACTGCGCAACATATTCCATATACAGGTAGACACTACCAAACAAAATGTTTTCTATTACAAATGTTCATTCAGAACTGCTCAGTCATACCATTGACATTTTCATTGAGAATGAGGTTGAAGAGCTGAACAACATATTCCTGGTCTTCATTCACAAAAATGTTCACTATGCAGGAATCCATCTCTTTCTGGATCCATGGCTCCAACGGCTCTAAGCCTTCTCCATCCTGTAACACAAAAAAAGAGGCATTTACAAGTTGAGGTCCGAAGATGGACAGATGAAATTGACTGATTGAATTTTTTTTCCCTTTTTGCAAAAAAAGCAATCAATTTTGAAGTCTTCTGGAGTCCATGTAGTGATATCTTTGATAAATCAATGTGGGTTCTTGAAGCAGTGCCGCCTGAGGGGTTGAAGGTCACGGGCATTCAAATGTTGCTTTTCAGCCTTGCCACTTAAATGCAGTGATTTCCTCTCGATTCCCTGAACCTTTCGATGATATTATGGACCGTTGTCAGAGGTTTTCTCGGACAAAGTTAAAGAAATGACTCGGCACACAGGAAAATTGTCTTCAATATCGGCGGGAGGGGATCTCTGAGAGCGAACGATGGTAGTTGCTCCGATGATCACACTCTCGAGCTCCTTTCCCGCCAATTCCGACTTTTATTGTAACATACAAGGAAAACACTGCCCCCGACATTTGCATACCGCACCCCCGGTCCGGCCCCTCGGTAGTGATTGGTTACCTGAGTTTAAGCTTTGAACCACGGTACATTGGCGCCTTTCTGTCTGGTCTACACTGTATCAACATGTTGCAGACTTTGCGGACGACAAATGTCGCCTGGGCGCGACGGGTGTTCTCAACTCGTCTTTTGTTGTTCAACCGCTGTTCCCAAATTATTCATTCCCCTTTTGTGACCGAGTTTCGCCCCCTCCCCTGTGATTGCCCACCTGCATTGACGTGCTAATTGTGGACTTCAACAGCCCTCCCAGCACCGGGGCGGCGCCTTTGTGCACAGGCATTTGGATGTGCTGGATACGCACCCAAACGTTTAGATGTGCCCAAATTAAATGAAACTTTAAACATGATACAATTTTGCTCATAGATTCCTCTAACAACCGTAGATGATGAAATCCCTTAATTCCTTGCAATTGTACATTGAGGAACATCGTACTTAAACTGTCCTATTTTCTCATGCAGCTGTTCACAAAGAGGTGAACCTTGCCCCATTATTTATTTTGAGTGACTGATCAATTCAAGGAGGCTCCTTTTAATACCTGCTGATGGCACCCACCAGTTCCCAGTTAGCCTGTTCCAAACAGGTGTTTGATGAGCATTCCTCAACTCTCTCAGTCTTTTTTGCCACTTGATCCAGCTTTTGCGCCATAAAAATCAAATTTAATAATTAGTGGCTAAAAAAATAAGGTTATCCATTTGAACATTAAATATCTTGTCTTTCTAGTGCAGGGGTAGGGGTAGGGAACTCTGGTTCCTCGAGAGCCATATGCTGCCTGTTTTAGATCCCTCCCTACTCCAACGCCCCCGATTCAAACGATCAGCTCATTAGCAACCCCTAGAGAAGCCTGAAACGATCATGATCAATTGAATCAGGTGTGTTGGAGTCGGGAGAGCTCTAAAATAGGCAGAATGTGTCTCTCGAGTTCCCTTCCCCTTTTGAGTGTATTCAATTAAATACAGGTTGAATATGATTGGCAAATCATTGCATTCTGTTTTTATTTATGTTCAACACAATGTCCCCAATCCAATGGAATTGGGTTTGGATATTTAAATGTACAATGATTTTCATCACCCCCCCCCTATCATTTTGTATTTACGGTATTTAGCAGTCTGTATGTTCACAAGCATCTTACCCGTGTCTTGACAGTGCCCCCTGTATCAAGATCATTGCTGCTCCTGTATGAGTCAGAGGATGCCGGGTGTGTGTTCTGTCCATCTTCAACACTGCTTTTCTCCTCTGCTCTTCCCCACTTTGTCCAAAGGTTCTGCGTCTCTTCCTCTGATAGCAAGAGCCACAGTGAGGTAAACAAGACAATACTGTTTCATTTAAAAAAAATAAATTTAAAAAAAGTCATTAAATATTCCTACATACTTCTCTGGGATTCTTCCTTGCTTTTGCCCACTTCTCTACTGTTAAAACCTGTGAACCTCAAAATGTCTTCCAGAAAACGTTGTTTCACTTCAAACTGTCTTCCTTTCACTACAAATAAAAGCCAAAACAATTCATTATCAATTTATGCAAAACGAAAGATGACTTAAAAAACTTCATACAATAACAAGCACAAATTAGTCAATTTGACTGTGTTGTGCGATGGTTCGTAGATCCTGATTCATACTTGAAAAAAATTATACAATGTGTGAGAATAGTTTAAAAGGCCGAAAGCCGAAAATCTGAGAAGTGTGGAACAATTTCCTGTAATGTATGACAATGTGTTCACAGTATAGCTTAAATACTGTCCACAAACATCATGTATCTTCCAAGTACTGGCTGCCTTGAGAACCGACAACTGCATTATAGTCTTGGAATCGAGCCTCTATTGCAGGGGTCACCAACGTGGTGCCCGTGGGCACCAGGTAGCCCGTGAGGACCACAGCAATAGCCCGCCAGTGCTAGGATTGTGATTTGCTAGTAGAAATTATAATTTAAAAATGCAAACGGGCAGTATTGTGAGACATCTTTAAGATGATCAGAGCCTGAAAATTAAAATCATTAAGTATTAAAAATAACACATTCTAAAATTATTAGATGTAATTTGTACAAATGTTATTTCAGACGTGTATCAATTTGGTAGCCCTTCACACAATCAGGACACATGAAGTAGCTCTCACTCTCAAAAAGGTTGGTGACCCCTGCTCTATTGAATAGATTCAATTCATTTTTGGATTTTGGAGTTGATATGAGGCAGACATGAGAGACGTGCCATCAGTCATCAATGAAAATGATTCCATCTTGTATTGTGGGGCCAATCATGAGACCGGGGTTAAAAAGAAACAACTGCTTCAGTTTGACTTTAAAAATCCCAGTTTAAAATGGCTTACGATAAATAACAGGACAGGACCAAGCGCCAAAGTACTTGAGGAACAAGTCAACATCCAGAGAAGCACTGGAGAGAACCAGTTTTATTGCAGGTAAGTCCTCAAGTACATCAAGCATCTTCGTGAGCAAAAAGTCAGTGAGACCATCGCGCTCATGCACCTCATCCTTCGAAAACACAGTAAGACAACTTTTAACATGGCAGATTAATTTCAGCTATCAAGGGTATGAACAAGAACACCCAACTACCCCGAATGATATTACAAAAATACTTTCAGAGTATGCAATTGCACAATTCATGCTCACCACAATGACATGTGTGACGGATGCCAGACTGACATCTCCAGCCATAAGTGTCCTGAGTAAAACTCCAGTGGTACAGAAAGTCAGCAGAGTCTTTGGAGAAACCCTATAGATACAAAGTCAAGAGCCATTTGCACAATCTCATCAAGATTAAGAGAAGGAATCAGAATTTTATGCTAAGAGGGGGTTTCTTAAAATTATTTCACACTTTATCAAAAGTATGAAAATCACATAAAATGAACTCTGTCCGGTCTGTGGAAAGATTTGGGATAACTTAATCATTTCTAGTTTACTGACGTGTCAAACATCTGATCTGAACATCTTTTCTTCAGTCATTATATTTATTATTTAATCTTATCTCTCTTTTAGCACACTCTTTGTGGTAGATTTTACGTGACTAACAGTTTGATCATCACAAGCTGCTTGTTTGGGTCACATTTCCAAGGCTCAGCAACATTTTAGGAGATAACAAGTGTTGTGACGTAGATAACTCCAAAAGAGATCCATTGCTGCCATCTGCATAGTTAGTATTTTCTCCTAATTTTATGGCTTAAACCACATTTGACCAAGACTTTTATTCACCGATTGCCCAAAAAAATAACTAAAATAAAAATCAATGGCGCCCCTTGTTAGGATTTCTGTTGATGCCGTTTTACATCAATGGCAATCAAAGAGTTAAAGAATCAGCCTCAGACATTGCTTTGCCACCACATTGATGCCAATCCTCTGCCAAGGCAGAAAGCTCTGAAATTATTCATCTTGCCGGCCTTCTTTATATAACAAAAAAAAATTCTAGACCTTTTAGAACATTTTATAGTGCATTCATTTTACTTATCACCCGATATCCAAAATATATATACAATCAAACCTCGGTTTTCGAACGTCTCGGTTCTCGTACAATTCGGTTTTCGAATAAAAATTTAGAGTTTTTTATGCCTCGGATGATGAACAAATTTCGGTTCTCGAACTAACCGAGCGCACTTGAATGAGTCACTTCACTCCTCTCGGCTTTGCTTCCTCGTGTAGCGTCCATTGTGAGCAGACGTTTTTGCATTGTTCAATAAAGATTTTTTAAAAAAAGCAGACGTGTTTGGTGAAACGCTTCCTCGTGTAGCGTCCATTGTGAGCAGATGAGTTTGTATTGTTCAATAAAGATTCAAAAAGAAAAAAGCAGACGTGTTTGGTGAGACGCTTCTGTTAGGGGGAGTGAAACCCCCCTCTTTTCAGAATGGTTTGCCCCAGCAGCACGGGGGAAGTGCGTGTGTTTGTTGTAAGTCCGGCAGTTTTCAATACAGCGGTACATAATGAACACTCTGGTGTCCGGTGTCTCATTATTATGCAATAAACATACAGAAACAGCTTCCTCGTGTAGCGTCCATTGTGAGCAAACGAGTTTGTATTGTTCAATAAAAAAAAAGCAGACGTGTTTGGTGAGACGCTTCCTTGTCTAGCGTCCATTGTGAGCAGATGAGTTTGGATTGTTCAATAAAGATTTTTTTTTTAAAAAGCAGACGTGTTTGGTGAGAACTACGTAATATCGGACTGCTATTTTTGCATCGTGTATCAGCCCCTAATCATAGCACCAAAGAAAGCAAGTGGAAGTGGTAAATGTAATGATGGTCAGCAGGCAAGGTTCACGTTTTATGTGACTTTTGATAACAATGTGGCAGAGCAGTAGAACATGCAGTGTGTTCACTCTAACAGTTACTTCCTGGAACTCCCCCTTATAGGCGGGATCTGTAGATTAACTGGAGTATGACGTACACAGTGCAAACTTTCATAAAGCACTACTCATATAATAATAGCCTATTATGTGACAGTAAACCTGGTGAAGAAAAGAGGAAAATAGTGCGCAAAACTATAGAATTTAAGTAAGATTTGATCGCGAAATATGAGTCAGGTGTGCGTGTGCCTGTGTTGGCTAAGGAGTTCGGGATGCCGAAATCCACCATCAGCAGCATCCTAAAAACGAAAGACCATCTGCCCGATGACAGCTGGGATAGGCGCACGCCCCACGACAGAAAGAGAGAGAGAGAGAGATGTTCCTTCAATTTTTATGTTACAATGTTAATGTTAAAATTGGTAAAAATAAAACATATTACAGTTTGCTTGTACAGTATTTTACATATTATATGCTCTCTGAATACATGTGTACAGTTTATGGTGTAAAATTGTAAAAAAAAAGTGGTTTAAAAAAAGTTTTTTTCTTGACTTGGAACGGATTAAAAATTTTTTACATTGATTCCAATGGGAAACATGGTTTCGGTTTTCGAACAATTTGGTTTTCGAACAGTCTTCTGGAACGGATTATGTACGAAAACCGAGGTTCAACTGTAATTATTTTAAGTAGGAAGTTGTGATTAAAAGGGATTTTACCTGCTCTCCAGTCGAATGTGATAGCCGACAGTCTTGCCAATTGTTTCTCCCCTCTCGGCTGCCACTCTCTCAGCGACCGTGATGGCAGCCAGGCGTCTGGGCTGAGTACAGAAAATTCTGCAGCGTTCTCCTTTCTTGTTGCAGTCGTCCAGCAGAAACTGTGGAATCTGACCAAACATACATTACAAATATATATATGTGTGTGTGTGTGTGTGTGTGTGTGTGTGTGTGTGTGTGTGTGTGTGTGTGTGTGTGTGTGTGTGCGCGCGTGTGTATTTCAGATAACCCCAGACATTGCATTTGAATAAAGAGCACACTTGGTGTTGATTCTTCACCAAAAAAAAAAAAATCTCATTTTATATCTTTGGGGTCAAAGGTCAAAAGGTTGAAGGGAGCCTAATACTTTCGCCAGGCACGGTACACTTTAATCTAGTACAGCATTAAAAAAATAAAATAAATAGGCACTGGGGTGATACACACACCCGACACAGAGGGCCCACCGCACTTTTTCGAGAAGGACTGACTTAAAGGCATTTAAACAAAGTCATTTGTTGTAGTTTTGGATGCCATTTTTTTCTACATACAAATATTGGCTTCAAACATCAGTTGTCGACCTCCTTGGCTACTAATAATTGTTATTAGCCCTGCAAAAAGCATGTCGTTCTTTCACTAGTGTAACGGGCCTAATAGTTAAAGGACGACACTGAAGGCACAGGAATTCCACTGAAGGGTATCTGTAAATTTCCAAAATTAACATTGGCATCGATTTTGCACTCACTCTCTTACCTGGGTTGTTTTCCCAGAACCGGTCTCTCCTACGATAAGTACCACCTTGTTCTCTCTAATCAGTCTGACTATCTCTTCTTCGTGCTCATACACTGGTAGCGCACGTCGGAAACTGTCAAATTCCGATGTCCTCCTCCTTGGGGGTACCACGGAAACGCCACTGTCCAAGTGGCCCCGCGGCCTGTTCATGTCAAAGCTGTTGTCTGATGGAAGACAGGAGAATATTACACACCTTTTTCCAAACGTGACTATAAAAGCCTAACATTCGCATGACTGCAACTGTTCGTGAGTTGTCATTTATAGGAAAATATTGCATAACATTTGAAATCTATTATGTCTCATTAGTGGTTTATTGGCCCCCATGGTTACACACTTCAAGACGATAATGTATACTGCAATTTGTGCAAACTCCAGCGGGAACTACAGCATGCAAGGCTGGCCAGTTGGATGAGACAAAAAATAATTTTAAAAATCTGTTTCAAAAATATGTTCAGGTCATTGTTAGCACTACAACAAACATTAGGTTTAGGGGAAGATAGATTGTATGCTAAAAGAAATTTGTGTGGCGTGCTGTTCTGGTCATATAAGTACACCCGAAGAGCACACACATTATTACAAGGGAATAATACCAACATTAGTTTTTCCAATTAGCCTATTGTGATAAAACTAGAAAGCGCAGAGTTTGCTAAAGTGGATCTTTGTGGGTTCATTTCTGCTAACACCACTTTAAACACAAACGCACCGAGTTGTGTAGCAACAGACAGTTTGCTTTTGCTGCTAGCTTGAAGGTCTTCACGCTCTTTACTGGTGATAGGAAACTTCTGAAGAAGGCTGCGGATGGCATGTAAGGAGGTTTGGGAGAGTATCAGCAGCATGGCGGACCGACGACTGTCGAGGAGATTCTTTTTCCTGATGGTGAGGAAGCGATTTGAGCTTTTCCTGAAACACAAAATATATTACCATTTGTATGTTCTCATGTTCATGTCAACTTTATTGTCAAATGTGCTACATCTGCAACATACAGCACAGATGACATTTCTTTCCTCAGGAGAGAGAGGAGCCGCTGCGGGTGCCCGCGCCGCCATCAAAAGAACAGTTAACATAAAATGACAAATAATACAACACAACACAAAAGACACAGACTGTCGTGCAATCTTAACCACTTTTCTGCATACACTTTGTTGTTTGGAGCAGTTATCGATGAAAGAAGAGTGAATGAAAGTGTCCTTTTACCAGTGGATTAAAGATGTCATTTCAGTATCTGTAATGCTTAATGCATGTATAGTCAAAACTCTTGAAATGTATAGCCGAAATGATTTTTATATGTTTTGTAATAATTATAGAGAAAGAGGAGAGAGAGAGAGAGAGAGACACACACACACACACACACACACACACACACACACACACACACATTTATTTTACATATTATTTCAGGGTATATTTGTTTTTTTAAAAACTGAAATAAATAAAAATATGAATGCCGTTTTACAAAAACAATTAATAAAATCGTTACATTTGAATTTACCGATTTTTGGAGAACCTATTTTCCGCAAAATGACTAACAAATGCAACCTTATCTTCATAACTCACCTTTTGCTATTTCTGTGTTCTTTCTTAAATGCCCAATGATGCCTCCAAAAGGCATCAAAGTCCGGTGTAATAGAAAGGTAAGTGAATGATAATTTTTACTACATTTTGTGTACAGCGAATAAATATTTTATGATGGTGACAGTTCAGCTTGTTTCAAATTATGTCACTTTACACTTCTTGGGGGAAAACTGTTGTCAAATTAAGATTTGCAAGTTAAGTAGCGTCGTGGAACAGATTGTGTTCGAATTTGTGAGTGGTGCTTAAATCTGTATTTTTGTCTGCACCCTGTTCGTTGATCTCATCAACGTATCCTGAATGAAAACAGCTCTTGATGAAAACCCTTCTTTATACTTTCAATAATTCCTACCCTGACGTTCTAGTGAGACATACTTACCCTTTGCTTTTAGAAATGTAACCCAAAGCTTGCGCTGCACGATGTATGAAGGCTCTCTCATTAGAAGTAAGCGAAGAAGGAAATTCCATCTCTGTTTATTCGGGGGAGATTAGATTTGGACTGTCATTCCTCGCTGCTCACATTGGAAAATATATAAACTTGACTTACATTATCATCACATACCTTTCTGGTCGCTATAACGAAACCTCTCCAGAGACAAGTTAATTGAAATTTTGAGTTCTTCATTGATGTGAATGTCTTTGAAGCGACTTGTGGTCGAAGACTTCTGTGCTTTCTGGCCCTTGGCTGGGTTTTGCGAAGTTGGGCGGGAATACGGCATGATGCCCTGGAACACATCATAAAATTACTAAACTCACAAAGTTGTTGTGATTTTTAATCACACTAATATTTATATTGGAACTGTGCAAGATCAAAAACATTTTAACTCGGTCCATTTTGTGTCATACTACGTGTTGAATGTGTCCAAAGCCACTGGAAAAAAAGTCAATCAACACTCAAGAAAAGTGTAGTAACATTTGAAATGAAGTCTTTTATGTATGTGTGTGTGTGTGTGTTGTGTGTGTATATATATATATATATATATATATA